TGTGTGTGTGTGTGTGTGTGTGTGTGTGTGTGTGTGTGTGTGTGTGTGTGTGGAGGGACAGGAGGAGAGTCCTGTGCAGTGGGAAGAGCCGCGGGCTGAGATCCTATCAAAGCTCTCAACACATCCCCAAATCACAAACCAACAAAAGCATCCGTATGATGTGGCGACTGAACGAGAACCAGTAGCTCTTTGTAAATCCTGATAAAGCGAAGGGCCAGTGGGATGACCCAGAATGCAATATGCAACTGATGCTGCTCTTTATAAAATTCATTATGCCACCGCTTTTTCAGGATTTCACATCCGCAGGTTTTTGTTCCCACAGTAGCTGCTTTGTGAACTCCTGGTGACACGATGAGCCGAAGCGGAAATTCTTTGATTTAATCTGAGCACGCATCCAGACATTCTGGACATCACAAATGTGTGTGCAGACTTAAGTCTCCTTCATTTCATTTTGAATCTCTCTCTGGATCCGCTGATACATTCTGTAGAAAGCGGGGACTTGAGAGGGCCCGCTCTCATCTTTCATCAACGCACAGAGAACTTTAAGTGCCTCGAACCAGGCTTAATTAGCCTCTTCTCCACGACATTTTGCTCAAATTAATCTTCCCGATCCACTGTCTCTGATGGGAGGTCAAATTTGTCGTCTGCTGAGAAATTAGTTAGCAAAATGAGAGCTCCTCCGTGCAGCTTCGGCAAGCGACCTTGATTAATTAAAAGGAGACGGCAGCTAATTAAGGTCTTATTCTGCTTGGTCTGACTGTGACCCTGTAAAACAAGCCGAGGCAGTAATGAGTCGTTTCTCAAACAGAATAACGCTGCTTCTTCTAGTTTGTGTGAGCACGGTTTTCATGTGAGGTCTTAATCGTCCAGTCTGCTGTAATGAGCATCCTCTTGAGTTCAAATGGGGAAAAAACAGGATTCATGTTTTGAATCAGCGCAATTATTTCGTATTTTTTGATAAAAATGTATAATTCATCTCCTCATCTTCTCAACCTTCTTCCAGGTCAATGGCAAGGACCTGTCCAAGGCCACCCATGACCAGGCGGTGGAGGCCTTCCGCACCGCCAAGGAGCCCATCGTGGTCCAGGTCCTGCGCCGGGCCCCTCACCCCAAATCGGTCAGCCCCGCCACTGACACCCAGGTGTCGGACACCAGCACTCAGACTGACATCACTCTTCAGCACATCATGGCCCTCACCAAGCTGCCTCCTCCTTCACCACCCATGATGGAGCTGGAGGAGTATCTGCTCACAGAGGAGTAAGTACCAGCTCGGTTGATAAAGACCATGTTCACAGAACAGTAATGGCCTTGAAGTATGATTTGAGATTTTGAGAAAAATAAGAAAAAAATTACGGTTTTATGAGAATTAAGTCTTTAAGTCTACTTTAGGATACGAGTCATTTTACCATCAGGACATTAGTCCCTTGTCTGCGTTAAAATGAGGAATGTAAAGTATAATACTTAATATTTTGCTACATCAGCAACACCTTAGGCCACCATAACTATCAGTACTCTTTTGTAGAGGAGGAAATGTTTGGTCAACGGTGACTGTACATCGTTACATCTGTGAGCTGTTTAAAGAGGTTTTATAGTTTGAGATTGGTTCAAGATTATGGTTCTAGAAGGAGAGAAACTCCACACATGGGTTCTCCTGGCTGCTTATTTCCTATAAAAAATGTTTTCCTTAGTTATTGTAAAATTGTGACTTTATTCTCATAATGCACTTTTGTGACTTTACTCTTTAAATCTCTGATCATTTTTTCTTCAACGTGGCCTTCACACTCCATCCTATAAGTATATCTCCAGGCAGAAGATAAAATGATTTCTGCTCTGATAGCTGTGTTATGGCATCAGCCTTCAAACGAATGGTTTGATGACTCAAACCAGTCTTTCTGAACCATGTTTCATCTCTCCACAAACAACATGCGCAACCAGCATTATTTATTCCTAACATTATTTTTTGAGTTTTCGAAATCCAGCTCGTGCTCAGTTTGAGTCCACAGACCTCAACCAGACATTAAAAAAACACACTATTTAGTTGCAGAATTGCTGGTATGCCAAGTAAATATCCCTGTCTCTGCACCGAAGACATGTCTTTTCCAGAAAGTCCACTTTAAATGAGAAGATACAGGAAATCATTGGTTCAAATGTCAGCTATGTTGAAAAGGTCACTTTTCTCTCAGACACAATCAGACCTCTCACCCTAATAGTTAATTAAGAGAGTGGCTCCTTATCTTCTTCCTCAAGCCCACAGTGCTGTGATCACACAGGGTGTGTCTGAAGCCTGAAGGCAAAGTGTCCCTGTCACTTTTGGAGGATGACAGCTCCTCCGAGGCGCACAGCCACATTAGAATGATGATTCTGCTCATTCATTTTCTCTCCCTCTCTCACTCTTTCTCTGTGTGTGTGTGTGTGTGTTGTGTGTGTGTGTGTGTGTGTGTGTGTGTTAGGCCCTGCAGCTCTGAGTCTGGCTTCATTCTACTGTTTGTGGCAGCAGCAGTTGCCCTTTAATGAATATTCAAGATTTCTATAATTGATTTCAGAGTCAAATTAATCACGTAGCGTGTTAATTTGTGATTAGCCTGCGGGTGTAGCTTCAATATATCTGATTCAAGACTGATTTCTGCATTGACTTCTTATTACTCCCTCTCTAATTCTCAATTATTTTTCAAACTCTGGGGCCAAATTTAAATCCAGATTGACAAATGTGTTGCTTGTCTCACTTTTTACTGTGTAAATGTTAAACGAGCGTTTCCCTCTTTTCCAATTACACTCTTGTCTCTTGTCTCAGGCATCCTGCAGGACATGCATACTTTGACCCGAATGATTTCCTGGAGGGCATTCAGCAGGACATAGAACGGGAGGAGCTGGAATATGAGGTAAACAGCTTCTCCATCCCTTCACTGTCTCCTCAATGAAGATCTACATTCAGACAAATGTGCATTATTAGTCCATAAGCAGACCAGAGGTCGCCTCTGTGTCTCCACTGCAGTGGCCTTGCTGGCCACCACAGCTCCTGATGTATTGTGGTTATTGATGGAGCACTCAACCTACAAACATACACAGAGATGTCGGCCAGACAGGAATCGAGTTGTTGGTTTGTTCCAGCAGATGCACAACGGTGACATCATTACTTATTAGTGACAAGGTCTAATAAGTCTTCCTCGGGCGCAGCACAGTGGAGATGTGGCCCGGTGGATAATTAGATGGCACAGATAATGGGTCTGCAGTGATGAATCTTATGATGCACGCTAACAATGCCTGGATGAGGCCATGATGAGGTCTTGATCAAGCCTCTGCTGTGCTCCCTCTGTGACCTCTGCCAACCCCCACACCCCCTCCCAGTGAACCCCAGCCACCTACTGCTCAATATTAATAATAACCACGGAAGAAGTATGAGGCGAAGAGGCGAGAGGGGACGTTCAGGACGATTAATGGCAGATGCACAGCAGAACAACACAGACTAACCAAGTGTCTGTCTCTAATTCACCCAACAATGAATTAGAAATGATACTATGTCTGTAACTATAAGCAATGAATTAAAATTTCTCACATTATAAATCATTATTTTAGTAATAGGTTTTCTCATATAGCAGCTTTTTTGCTCATATTTTGAGCAGGATAAAGCAGTTTCTATATATTCCATATAATGGCGATATTAACCCCCCCACCCCCATATAGATCTCTATATATTTTACTAGGGAATGTGTTAATATGAGAAATGAATAAATAAATAAAAAATAATAATTAATTTAAAAAATACTGGTCAAAAGTTTCATGTATAGGAGCAGATTACTTTATGCTCTTTCCAACATCATATATTTCCCTCTTTAGCACCATGCATCTTCTGCTGTGATACATGCTGTTAGTTAGGAAAGTGAGATACGTTTATGATACGTTGTGATATGTTCTGCAAAATCTTTGCTTAAAAAAATAAGTTGGTACGAATTATTTACACAGAGTGACTTCCAGGTGGAGTCTAACTGCTTACTACATTTGCCCAACTGCTGCTACATGAGCCAAGTGACAAATCTAACATAAGTTTGTTGTAAAGAGTGAAATGAATGTCAACAGATCTGACCTGACACTAAACTGCCAACCTTTTTAATGCGTTTTTTTTGTTTCTGTATAAATGGAGAAATATACTACCTCAGATATAAATATATTAATGTTTCATTTGTCCTCTGAAAGTGATATTTCTGGTTAGTTATATTATAGCTTGTGACGCTCTTTCTGTTTACACAGTCGAATGCATTTGATTGGAGGGTGTTACGAATATTTTCCATTCATAAATCACTAGTTTGAAAATAGTCTGTGATTACTATATAATTTGAAAGACCTTTACCCTGCAACACTTTGTTTTTTGTACAAATGAAATGTAAACTGATGATTAGTGAGCTTTATAGGTGCTTGCTTTGTCACTGTTGGATAGAACTTTACTTGCTGTTCTCCCCTGAGGCCAATCATTGCACTGAGCTAGCTAACTCCTGAAAACCTGAAAACTCTCTTAAAGAATGCAAATTAACTCTTTTCACAAAATGTCAAGCTTTACCTTTTCTTCTTAGACAGCTCTTTTTATTTAATTAAACCTCCGGAGGCCGTCCTCTGCCCTGAAAGAACAGCACTGCTCGTATCTTTCTCTGTATCTGTGAGATTACAGGTGCTGACAACTGAGAGACGGGACTCTGCCCGTCTGCAGTGGGCCACATCATCTCTCATTCTGTCAGTGGGCCTCTAAAAAAACCAATGGCTTCCCTCTAGTCCGCCTGAAAGATTCATTACAGTGATTGATGGACCACTGTTGCTCTGTGATCCCATTACATAGTCGATATATTCAGTCTGTCCAGAAATAAAAATGTTATCCTCTCAATTTTGAGAAAGGGAAACCAAAATCATCTCAGAAGCCGTGGATATTAACTTGTCCATTTGTTCATTTGCACCAGGAGGTGGATTTGTACCGAGCCAACATCCAAGACAAGCTCGGCTTGACCATCTGTTACAGGACTGATGACGAGGACGAGGCTGGGATCTACATTAGTGAGGTATGTGGTGCACCGTAACTCTCAAATGATGATGTTAACAGTAAAGCACAAATGAAGCTATATTCCCCAAAAGGTCTGAGTGGACAGACAGATGGAGATTAGTCTTGTTCTCTTATCAATTTATTCTCTGTTTTCTTCAGATTGATCCGAACAGCATTGCTGCAAAGGACGGCAGGATTAGAGAAGGGGACAAAATCATCCAGGTAAGATTTCTGTAATCTTGTGTTTTTCAATGACCCACCTGCACACTTCCTATTCTACTTCAATTTCAAAGTACTTTGGGAACTGTTTTCTTGCATGTATTAAGTTTAAGCTTGTTGGTATAAGTATAATCGAAATGGCGTATTTTACTCACTCTTGATGGCAGAGGATGTCTGAGGCAAACTGTGAATATGGTTTATACAAATAACATTTGATTGATTTATTGGTGACTGTACAAACAGCCATGTTTAAAAATAAATAAGGACAGGCTTTTAAATCATTCTGTCTGTGTCCATCAAGATCAATGGTATTGAGATCCAGAACCGGGAGGATGCTGTAGCTCTGCTGACCAGTGAGGGGAACCAGAATATCTCCCTGCTGGTGGCCAGACCAGAGATGCAGGTAATAAGGATCTCATCACGGGTGTGATCTTTTAATTATTTGCTTTGTTAATTAATGTCAAGGCAGATTTTATACGATTATTATTCTTTCTATACCTTTTCATTCAAGATTTGCGATTTTGTGTTTGCATTTAAATTGTTTAGTTTGGTCGATTAATTAAATAAACTTATAGAGCTTAGTAAAGGTTAATGATAACAAGGCAATAAAAACCTCATGTGCTGAATTTTTGAAGCAAATATGGTGAGTATTATGTTTTTATGGCAACAAACAAGAGTAGGACTGTTTGAGCACAACTCTGCATATGAATGTTTGCACCTAATGAGGCTTATCTTCTCCATGCTGCGTCACAGCTGGATGAGGGCTGGATGGATGACGACAGGAACGACTTCCTGGATGACCTCCACATGGACATGCTGGAGCAGCAGCACCATCAGGCCATGCAGTTCACTGCCAGCATGCTTCAGCAGGTAAACTCACTCTCACTCTGTGATGCGCACGCACACACAGTTTCTAGAAGCAAACTTGTACAATCAATCTGCATTACTACATACAGTATGTTCATCTAGAGATTATTTTTGCAGAGCCAGATCTGCTGAACAGCTGCTCAGTCGTAATTAGCAAAAAATGTCTATTTACACAAAAGAGAGCCTGTGACATTTTGGTATAATTTCACCCATAAACTCAGCAGGAAGCCTGTTCCTCTGATCATTTGTCCCCCAAAAAATTTTTTAACAAGAAGAAAAACACAGCAGGAGATTCTCCAGTCAGACACATTCGGAACAACACAGAAATCTCTGGAGCTTTGAAGAAGGTTGGCTCAGCAGGCAGAGACAGGACATAGAGTATAAATACTGGCGTTGGCCCTGATCACCAAAAGCTATCAAAAATTGTAGTCTTTTCAAGTTGACATCTTCATCTGTGCGTTCTGCGCATGTGGCTCCTCTTTTCTTTTTGTGTCTCTTTTTCCTCTGGAAAATCAATTTCTCACACGGCTTCACTCGGACATAGAGTTTTTACCAAGAGGCTGGCAGGAGAATCTTCGCAGAATGTCCGCTGTGACTGACTCAGACATTTGCATTCTCACATACAGCGCCCCCAAATAAGTCCAGTGCATGTCTGAAAGCAGCTATAGATGCACCACTGTCTCTGAGCTGTTTGTTGTTTGTGTTTCTAGAAGAAGCACGAGGAGGATGGAGGCACCACCGACACAGCCACGCTTCTGTCCAACCACCATGAAAAGGACAGTGGGGTTGGGCGCACAGATGAGAGCACGCGGAATGACGAGAGCTCGGAGCAGGAGAACCTCGGAGATGACCAGACCACAGCCTCCAACACACTGGGCAGCTGCAGAAAGCTGACCTACAGCCAGGACACACTCGGCAGCATCGACCTGCCCTTTAGCAGTGAGTCTTTCATCTCCGCTGACTATACCGACACCGACTTCCTGGGCATCCCGGCTGACGAGTGCGAGCGCTTCAGGGAACTCCTGGAGCTGAAGTGCCAGATGAGGAGCAGCGGAGCCCAGGGTCTGTACTGCCAGGGCGGAGGGGCAGGAGGTCAAGACCAGGAGTGTGTGGACAAGGAGCTGGAGCTACTCAATGAGGAGCTGCGCACCATCGAGCTGGAGTGCCTGAACATCGTCCGCGCGCACAAGATGCAGCAACTGAGGGAGCAGTGCCGTGAGTCCTGGATGCTGCACAACAGCGGTTTCCGCAACTACAATACTAGCAGTGATGCTCATCGCCATGAGCTCTCAGACATCACAGAGCTGCCAGAGAAATCAGACAAGGACAGCTCCAGTGCCTACAACACTGGTGAGAGCTGCCGTAGCACGCCTCTGACGCTGGAGCTTTCTCCAGACAACTCGCTCCGCAGAGGAGCGGAGAATCAGGCCGGGGCATCCGGCTCTACCAGTAGGATGCTCAAACCACTCCTGTCCCCCGTGCAGGAAGCTTCTGGCCCAAGCCGCAGCAGAGGGTCCTCCAAAGATCAAGACGGAGCACTGCAGGCGGAGGGCAAGGAGAGGAAAATGGGAGAGTCCAGTAAGTCTGGGCGGAGCTATCCACACTCACCTTACAAGCACGCTCACATCCCCGCCCACGCCCAGCACTACCAGAGCTACATGCAGCTGATCCAGCAAAAATCAGCTGTGGAGTACGCCCAGAGCCAGATGAGTCTGGTCAGCATGTGCCGCGACCCCATCACGCCTAGTGACCTGGATCCTAAGATGGAGTGGAAGGTGAAGATCCGCAGCGACGGCACGCGCTACATCACCAAGCGCCCCATCCGGGATAAGCTGCTGAGGGAGCGCGCCCTCCGCATCCACGAGGAGCGCAGCGGCATGACCACAGACGACGACGCCATAAGCGAGCTGAAAATGGGCCGCTACTGGAGCAAGGAGGAGAGGAAGCAGCACGCCGTTCGGGCCAAGGAGCAGAGGCAGCGCCGAGAGTTCATGAAGCAGAGCCGAGCCGATTGTCTGAAGGAGCAGACTTACCTGGAGGACAAAAAGGAGCCCAACATCATCGAACTCAGCCACAAAAAGATGATGAAAAAGAGGAATAAGAAAATATTCGACAACTGGATGACAATCCAGGAACTGCTGACCCATGGTACCAAGTCACCAGACGGCACCAGGGTTTACAACTCACTCCTGTCTGTGACTACAGTCTAAGTCCTGCCTTGAGTTCAGTGTCAGGCCAGCTAGAGGAGGACAGACTGGAGTGTAATGGACTGTACATAGAACACTACCAGATGGGGTAGAGATTCCTGCCTCGTTCAATGTGGCAACATTTTGTAAATAGGAAATAAGGAAAGCCTTTTGTGGACAGACATTTTCCACCCCTGCGGTGAAGAGGAGCTCCTGTAGATGAGGGTTGGACTTGGACATGAACTCAACATGGCTATAAGAATGATTTTGGAAACATTTTTCAGATTCTTTCAATAACCTTTTCTACCTTTGTGCTTGCTCATTTTGAATAATTTTGGAAGGTTTTCAGAAGTGTGTAAAGACGGTGTGCCATTCATAAAACAGCCAGCATTTACACTATTATACATTATTTTGTTTGTACTATATATCTCTTATCAGTATTTTACTGTTATGCATACTTAATGCTTTTATGGAAACAATGCTATTTTTCCTGCAAGGTAGAACACATAATCCTTTTCAAAAGGACTTTTGTAAATTAAAAAATAAAATTTTTGTAACAAATCCACTTTTTTTAGTTTGAATTTCTCTCTATGGGTGCTGATCTACCAAAGTCGATACCACCAGCGATATATACCATCTGTTACATAATGAGGAGAAAAACATTACATGATATCATTGTGTCTGTACGTATGTTTAGAAGAAAGAAAGATGTTTCTCACATTGTTGATACTGAAATGTCTGTTTGTCGAAACACACATTGTAGTCGCTTTTGCTTTCTTAGGGTTTACATGTATTGAGCAGAATAACAGCTTTACAAATCCTTAGTTAGCCACACAATTTGATGTCTTGTAAAATGAGAGAAATAATAAATTATTGTTTTATATATGATGAGCTTTGAAACGTTGTTGGGATTTGTCATTTTTAAGCGTTGTTGCATCATAAAAAATTATTGAGAAGTGAGAAGAAACTGCATTGCATGCTCCACCTACAGCTAAAACTCTGCATAGACGGTAAAAACATTATGGACCATGGTGTAGAAACGCAGTAGGATCTTTGCATTGTCTCATTTCAGATTGGGGTTAGGTTGATTGGAGACTCAACTGAAGATTGACCGAGGTGTGAATGTTAGAGTGAATGTTTGTCTCTGTATGTTGGCCCTGCGATATGCTGGTTGTCTGTCCAGGGTGTAACCCGCCTCTGGAATCAAAGTCAGATTCATGTACATTTGCCAACTTGCAGTGATGGAAGCAGCAGGAGTCCGTTTACTGCCTGTGATTCAAGTGAAATCCAGAGTAGTCAGTCAGTCTGACTGGCGTCGACATGAATCAGTCCAATCAGCAGAGAATCCTGCTGTCAAGATCTGACACATGAAGGCTGACAACAAAGATTTGTATCTTTTCTTTCCTCTTGTCGTCATGACAACACATGGATGTTACAGTGGTGGCTTCTGTTCATCGCCCACAGTTTTTCCTCAGCCGAGGAAAAGTGGCCTATCCGTGTAAAACCAAGATCAGACAGCACACTGTGTGGTTTCATGTTAGTGAAAGTTGTTAGTGAACGTGGCATGAGGCACCGTCACATGGCAGCGTCTCTTTGCTGAGCTAATGGTTTATTTATCTGACTCCAGACTCTGACCATCTGTTAGAGGGACCTCATACCCTCAGTCCCATATGATCCTCCAATTATCAGTTTAGTGCATCATTACTGAGGACAAAAGCAGCTCCATGTCTCTTCTGATCCACACAACTTAGTCATCAAACACATCTTTTGTGTCTAATGAGGCATCAACAATTAGGGCAGCATTCAGATATTTAGTTTATTATATTCAAACTCAAGTACTATTGCTAACTCAGGAGTATGAAATGCTAAAATGTCTAAAACAAACATACAAATAAATATGAACTATTTGAAATCCTCTGACACAACTGTTCTATTGCATTAAGCTCTACGGATGATTTTAGCATCTTTAAGCCAATTTTTTTCATGGCCCACAGCTAGGCTGTTTTGGGTTTGTCTATTCTCAAACAGCATATTTCCTTTAACACCCGGTAGCTGTCACTACTTTAAAGGTCTGATAATACACTGCACACTGCCTGCAGCAACAAATAGCAAAAAGAAAAACACAGATGGAGAACATAGCATTCAGCTGCTAAGAAGATGTTTCTCTGAGGAGTTAGAAGAGACCATAGACTGTATATAATGGACATGTGTCTTCTAAAATGAGGCCAAAGCATTACAATGTAGTAGAAAATCCAGCCTCCTCCACGTTAATGAAATATTATTTCTCAAAGATGGTTTCTGTCATTTACAGTGGTACTTGTCAGACTGATGCAGTGTATGTCCATGTGTTCATTTTTCCTGTAAGTTTGCTTTTATTAGTTATTTGAGTCTATAAAAACGGGGGGGAATGTCATGATTGACACCTGTGACTGAGTCACGATTGGTCAAGCAGTGTGGGGCCTCACTACTGCATAGAATGGCTCCAATTGAACTGGATGCAGCGTTGGTATCCAAGGTTTTGGCCTCATTTCTGGATAGTAGAAGGAAGTGTGTCATCCATCTTTATATACAGTCTGTGGTAGAGACCAAAACAGAGCAAATAGAGATTGAAAATTAAACTCAAGGTCATCAGGTAGCCAGAAACACACCTCCAAATACATTCTCATTTTGCTCTACTGCTGCTGGATGTGTAAATAAGATGATGTTAGCTAACATGTTAGCCATTATCTTCTTTGTAATGCATCACTGTTTAGTTTGCTGCTTGTTCTGCTGCCCCCAAGTGACCAAAAATAGATAACTGATAGTTTTCTGTGCATATTATGTACTTGGACACTTTAGATTGGATGAACTGCAAGTCACACACAAATAAAAGAATAGTAAAAACTGAAGCAGTTAAGGCCAAGTTGTATAAACTTTTAGTTCTGATTGGATCAAGCTATGAAACCCCATATTCTACACTTCCCATGATGCAACTTGAGAACATATTTCATGAGACCCTCTCTGATACCAGATCAGAGGACTAACAGACAGAAACAAAACATCTATAAATCATAGGATTATAAAAATCTATTAACAACAAATAAAATTGTGTACATTATGCTATTCTTGGTAGAACTTAAGTAAGTATTACAGCAAATTGACTTTGACATCTTTTCACAATGTTGCAGGTTAATCTGTTAACATAAATGTTAAGCTTTGATTGACCCCACAGTCAAAATCAATTCCTACAAAATGTTCCTTCCATCTCTTTAATGCCAAAGGCCTTTAATTGTTTAATGAATACCAACATAAATTCAGCTTGTTTTAGTTTTCAGATAGTTCATGAATTCATTGTCACAGGTCTGCATCACTTAAGGGGGTGATTATGATAATGTGAGCAGCCTGGGGTGCAAACTCAGCTTTTTCTCCATGTCTGTCAGACTATAATTGATTACTCCTCCTTAGGTTTGACTGAACCCCAGCTTTGTGATTAATGCCTGGCTACTCTTTACACACTCTTTAAATGGGAGATAACAATATGGCATGCAATGCAAACAAAAAACTCCCATAATCAATTCTGGGACGTCCCCCTGCCACCACAGAACGCCAGGAGATTAGTCGATCACATATTTGGCTTCGCTATCCTCATGTATTTTTATTATCTTTGGGATAAAAGTGGACATCCCCCCACTGGTCTGGCAGTTTGCGTTTGAGCCAGAGAGCAGGACTCATCGGTTTAAATGTCAGAGCGAAGAACACGCCGACATTCCAGTGTACTCATCCATTAACTGATAAGGGGGCGTCTGTGCTGCCTGCGAGTACTGCTGATTCTGATGCTGTTTCACAAAGGAGACTGAGATGCACGTACCTGCTTAACAAGCCTGGAAAATATTTTTTGCATTGCTTTATTTACCATCTTAGCCACAATTAATTTTGAAGGTGAAACCAGGAAATACTTGAGGCACAGGTTGTTGTGTCTGAGTTTTTGCATGACCTAAATTAAAATAAAATAAAACCTTGGAGGCACCACACTGCTCCAGCAAGTTCAGCAGGTGTGAAGACAGTGTTAGCACATCTCAGATAAAAGAGAACAAGCTGCTTGATAAACAGAAAGAAGTGCTGAACCACATATTCATGTTCTCGCAGTCAAAAAGGTTGCTCTTAGATGTGGAGGCATGTCCTCAGAGCATTTAAGTCTATGAACTCTGAATATTTGAAGGGTTTTATTCCAAAAATGTTAAATTCACGATAAACTCAGAGCTGCATCTAAAAAAGTAATGCTGACATGAAAAATGGAAAATAAAAATGTTGCAAAATGTTACTTTACATGACACTATGCATTTCTTGCACTCCTAACTAAACCACAATCATAAGTTGATTTGTGTATTCAGAACAATCATTCTGACCTAGATTTGCAAGACTGATCCATGGTTTAAGATAATGGTATTAAGATTACTGTGATAACTCTGATATGTAAAACAATGGATTTATTGTCTGGTGAATCAAATGGAAGACAATAAAATACTGACCTTTAAAATGGCTTATTTTCATATAAATGTTACTTCAGATATGGTTCCAAGACATCCCTCAAGACAAAATTATGTGAGATGAAAACAATGTGTTTCTCCAACTTAAAAAACAGCCTTTTCTGAATGAGCTTTAGATTGGGACATTTCACCCCATGTGAGAAACTGTGAATTACTCTCTTCTGTGTCTTCACACACTTTATTTTTCTGATACTTGCGATTTTGTCAAACATGGCAACCGTGAAATACTAATGTCTGATCAGCTGATATGGTTTCAAAAAGTGACAACTGAGTTTTATCACACATTTCAATCCGGAACAATGTGTTTGCTTGTAACGTGTACGTGACAGCCAGAATAAATGAGTCTCCAGAGGTAACTAAATATATCTTGTATGTAAGATGCATAATTAAACCCATAAGCTTTTCTGATTTTTCACAAGTACAAGATGGAACAACTCAGAAACATCACACTGATTGATGGCAGGAAAGGAACATTTGGTTTTCCTTTGTAAGTATTAAAATGTGTAAAGGTCTACACAACATGAACGAACCCATCATAACAGTTACAATGTAGTTTATGATCAGACGTAAAGTATTGATTATGGCCACTTTGATACATTCACCCTCTTGTCAAGCCAAACCATCATAGTTTAATGGGGAATTATTAATCTGATTCACAGTGTAAGTTTTAGTATATGTATATGTGTACCATGTGTGATAACTGAATCTTGTCAATCTTCGACCATTCGCAGGAGAAAGTATTTCACATAGAAGTACAGGTATTTGAGTAGTTAAGAGGAAAGTGAGCTTAATTATATTACTGATTGAAACAAAGACAAGGCATAGTTTGGTTTTTTTTAAATTATTATTTGTCATTTGAATGTAAAATAAATACAGGAAAAACGCATTTACAGCCATGCTAGCATGCTGGTGCTTAGATATAGTTTTGTTTATTGTGATAACAAGAACTTTCTATCAAGAACAAAATATGATCTCATCAAGTTTGCATTTGGTCATAAACTTTTGATGGAATTTATAAAGCTCTAAACAGAGCCAGGTGTGTAGATCAGACAGAAAGTGAAGATTGAAAGAGAGAGACGAAAAACAGAGAAAGAAAGTATGGTTTGAAAGTTCAAAATCCCCATTAACTTTAAGAGACCTTCTGTTACAAGCATACGGTGGCACCATGATTATCTGTAGCCAGGCCTGTGAGTTAGCTGTCAATGCTTCTGTCTTTGAGCCATCTTTCTGCACTTTGAGTTAAAGGTCAGCACAGGCAATAAGACAGCACGTATCCTGTCAGCGAGAGCAGCGGGTATGTCACCTTCATCATAACCACACACAGGGATAACCATCAAAAATGAAATGACCCAGGAATATAA